TCTATCTGAAACTGCATAATATAAACCAAAAACTTATACTAAATTTCGGCACGCTTCTGTAGCATTTCTTCCTTGTTGGAGCTCGTACAAAGTACAGTTGCGTAAATGAACTTTTTCGTCGTCATTTTTTAACGATCACCTCTCACTGCTCGATGACATGAGAAGGTATTTTGTTCAGTTTATTTAGGAAAGTACATGTGTATAAATACAATGATAACGAAAAATAGTCATATATGACTCAAATAAACATGTTTATTATCGATTGAAACTTGAGGAACAAGAATCGGACAAAAACTTTTCGGTAGATCTAATAAATATTAAATATATAGTAAGGAAAATAATATTTAACCCTTTACGCTCGATGAGCTTTTCGGTCGGGGGAACCAGCAACTCGCTCCCGCTTATTTCATGAGTTCGTTATTATTAACTTAAAATAATTGTAGACACAATAAAACATACTTTAAACTCGTATATTTTAACATTATACATATTTTTGTGTAACTTAATGAAAGACATTTATTAAAAATTATATTTTATCATTTTTGTTAAATTAATGAGGAAAAATATCTTATAATATGGGTGGTAAAAGTTTAATAAATCTATATATTATATCTATTACAAGTTCTTCCGTGCCACGTGATATTAGTTTTACTATAACTATGTAATTATTTTAACAAAGAGCCCTATACAGCTAATCGCTGTYCCTTATATACTAATCTTACATRGAYTARAGWKGGGAGACTTAYATGTGTGCGTCTCTCTCACGAACAGTAGTACACCAACACATGCTCTTGCGCTACAGCACATACATTTAACCTTGCAATAGACAATGTACACATCTCAACAATTTTGCTTCTTATAATATTTTTATAAAACAATTTCCAATGTACATTCTTGGCTTGTCGGGGGGGCACGTGTTACAGTGATACAAACGTTATTCTTGTGGGGATTTATTCGGATTCTGTGCACATTGTCCATTATGAAGGTTCAATTTCTTCAGTACAATTACTTTAACTTTCAAATTCACTATTAATTATTCGGAATTTTTTGTTTTCTTATTCCTCTACTTATCGGTATCTTCATCACTTCTGTCTTCGTTCTCATGGGCAAGCTGTCTCTATATTACATTGATGTAATTTCGTTCGTTATTGCAGAACAATTGAACTCATCTTAACTAGAAGTCATTTCTTCGTCATGTTCCATACTTATTGGGCTCAATAACTTTGAAAGAAATATTGCGATCGGTAAGAATGCTGAGTTCGAACAGATGTGTCCAAGACAGAGTCCTATTCGCGGTCGCAGGTACATGGTGATTCATTGTCTCGCTATAGGAGATAAAAGTAATGACGCAGAAAAAACATCGTGGCACTAAGCAGCCATTCACGCATAGGCTGAGGATTTATGTATTGTTGACCCCCCTGTCGGCTACTTTAAAGGTTGCTTGTGTTCGTGACAAAAACAGCTTGAGATACACATCGTAAAAATTATTTTTTTTATTTTTTTTTTCGAACAAATGTTTTGCTGCAAGGTGTATTCTAGAGAAAATTTATTTTCAACCTGCCGACTCGAACATCTGGACCTTTTATTTTTCCTTTGGGAATAAACATTTCGCTGCAAGGTTGTTTTCTAAATAATTCCATTCATTTTCGATATCGACTGAAAAAGGTAATTTAAGAAAAAAAAAAAATAGAAATACTTCTAGTGAATGGTTTTACGAATAAAAGAATCCAGAAAAAAAGGACAAAAATGACCTGAGAACACTTGAATACTATTGTATTGTATACCAACTTTCACTAATTTTTTTGTGCAGGTGTCCCTTTTTCTCCTCATCTCCAATATTTTCTTATACTCCATAAAACAAATTTTCTTTTAATATGATTGTTGAGACATATTTTTTTTCTAAATATATTATTAATATTTTTATAAATATATATTCGTTATCCTAAATTAATATTATTTATACCCCATACTTTAAAAAATTAGAAGTGTTGATCAATCAGATTACGTATCGTTAATTGAAACAAATGATAATCGGATGAAACATAAATTAAAAGAATACAACAAATAGGAGATAAAACTTTCAAAGTGTGTCTCGACAATTTAACAGCAGTGCATGTTTGCGTAGTAAAATCATTCGAATCGTATCCAAAGTTTGTATTACAGTTAGTTTTTTAAATAAACATTTTATAAGGGTTGTCAGATTATAATATATTCACGAATCAGTTAACCATTACTTTTACAGGGTGTATAATAAATCACAAATATATATATACATAATAAAATTATAGTGTAAGTATAAAATATAATAATTTATTATTATTTTATTATTATTACAAATTTGGAATGGTATAACATTAATGTTATACTACATCACAATGAAAACAAATGTGTTATACCATTCATATCTGATAACGAGTTAATAATCACCGTTCTCCAAGCATTTAAATCACTAGCCACACGTTCTTTAATTTAATGACATATTTACATCATAAATATCCGATTAGAAATTTCATCATATCGACACGGAAAATAGATAACCCTTCCTAATGACGAAAATATAGTCTCGTAAATTGATATTTCTAATGGAAAATAACATTAGGTTAATTGATTAATATTGCCATGGGGTTTTGAGTTAATAGATGATATTAATTTTAGTATTAGATGTATATGATTCATTTATTTCGATCATTATATTTTCTTATCATTAATGCAATCTATGGGGTAAACAATGTTAGTTAAGTTGTACACTTAAATATTCATTCAAAAATGAATATTGTTGAATGAATAAATAATACATTTGTAGTATTCATGTTTTATGGTATATATTACCTGTTATTAATTTTTTTCTATATAAGATATATCTAAATTTATAATTATTAAAAAGCAATATGTATATATATATATTAAATAATTCTGTACATTTTCTGTAAATCATGAAAATATATATATGAATATATAAATGATAAAAAATGTGATTTTAAAACATGACAATCATTGTTTCCAAGTTATCAAGATAAAACATAGAAAATCTAAGCCCATCTGCTGTATATTATTTTATACCATATATGTGTATTGTATATAAATACAAATAAATTACTTTTTTACGGGCTAACGCTTGTTCTCGAGATTAACTCGAACTGATTTCTTATATTCATGCAATACCCGTATCGAAACGATGAAAGAAAAATTGGAACAATGGTTTCAAACAACAAGGACTAAAGAAATAAGAAAGGAAAAAATAAAAACTTTGTAAATTCCAAGAAACTATTTTTATTGTATTAATCTTTAATCATTTCGTATTCCGCCCCTTTTTCTTTTCTTCTCATTTATATCCCTATAATATTTTATTCTCTGTTGTTCATTTTTGACAGATATTCTATATTAAAAGAAAAGGTACGGGACACGAATAAGACTGGGAAAACTTTTATTTGAACAAACACATTGTTGAGTGGAAAAAGAGACAGAAATATTAAACTAACAAAATCTTATGA